TGCCCGGTTCCTCAGCTGATGGACCTTCCGGTCCAGGATAGCTACCGGCACCTCCTCATAGGTAAGGTCTCGCTCGACCTGCAGCTCGCCGAAGTCCACCACATGATCGGGATCATGCACATACCTCCGAAGCATGGAGACATGGAACACGTCGTGCACACCCGACAATTCTGGTGGTAAAGCCAGCCGATACGCTAAGTTCTCAACTCGATCGAGGATCTCAAACGGTCCAATATAGCGAGGTTTAAGTTTCCTCTTCTTCCCGAAGCGAATCACACCTCTCATGGGTGAAACCTTCAAGAAGACATGATCTCCCACTGCATAAACATGCTCTTGCCTCTCCCGATCGGCATAAACCTTCTGTCTCTCTTGGTCAGACCTGATAGTCCACCGGATCTCCTCAACTGTCGCTGCAGTAATCTGTACAAAATCTGGACCCGCGATCCTCCTCTCTCCAACCTCATCCCAATACAAAGGAGTCTGGACCTTACGTCCGTACAAAGCCTCGTACGGGACCATCTTGATCGAAGAGTGGTAACTGTTGTTCTAGGTCAGCTCGACTAGCGGAAGGGCATACTCCCAAGTCAGGCTTCGGTCCAAAACCACAGCCCTCAATATATCCTCCAAGTACTGGATCGTACGCTTCGACTGACCATCTGTCTGGGGGTGAAATGCTGTACCGAACTCCAACCTCGTCCCCATGGCTCGGTGCAACGTCCTCCAGAACTGGGATGTGAACTTTGCATCTCGATCCGAAACAATCTCCACGGGCACTCCATGAAGCTTAACAATGTCCTTGACGAACAATCCGGCGTAATCACTCGCCTTCATGGTCGTCCGGACTGGCATAAAATGGGCAGACTTCGTAAGGCGATCCACTATCACCCAAATCGAATCATACCCGCCACTCGACTTCGTCAGTCCCACTACGAAATCCATGGTGATGCACTCCCACTTTCACAGGGGAACCTCAAGGGGCTACAACAACCCTCTTGGTTTCTGGCGCTCAACCTTGATATAGGATATTGTATACTAGAACGGTTCGCCAGGACAACCGGAGAAAATAAGTCGGACCGCTGGATTGCCTGAGTTAGGAAAGATCGAGTTACCTGGTCAAGAAAGACCAAGCACTAGCAACAAAGGAGCAGAGAGCAGACAGAAGAGATCAAACGTGGTCGACAGATACGGACCACCATGAGTGGTAGGATAAGGCGTGGTCGCAAAAGATTGGTCGAATATCAGAAGTGCACGAGGGAATCTTCAGCACGTGAAAGGAAAGACGCGTGGCGCACTCTGAGTGGCTACGTAGCTGCAACGAACTCTGACATTCTCTGACAAAGAGGACGCTGCTCCTGACACTAAAGATAGTGGAGGCGCGCGGCCGTACGGACGAGCAGAAGACAGTTGGCCGAACTCGCTTTGCTCGTGCGTGCAACTCAGGTAACTCGTCCTTATAAATAAGGGCGTGAATCCTCATTTTCAGTACAATCTCATATACTCTTATACTTTTTCATACACTCATATTATCTCTCAAGATCTGACTTGAGCGTTGGAGGCTCTTCACTGGAAAACACCTCCGGTGTAGGAGTTTCGTGCAGGTTCAGCGTTCAACCGGCGAGGAGAGCAGGCTTAAGGCGATTTCCAGCCGTTCAGGGTGCGAAACTTATATTATTGGCGCCGTCTGTGGGACTCTTGTTCGAAAAGTTGTGTTCTGAGCTCAGCTATGGCGGACGGAGTTCCTCGAGTGAATTTGCAGTCTTCATTTGATGAAGCTTGGGCGACGACAAGACCGATGGGAGCAGGACCTCCACCTGGATTCGCCGGACCCTCGCAAACACCAGTGACCCCGACGCCGATGCCCCAGGGTACAGCGATCTTGGGTGGAGGAGCAGGTACGAGCAAGGAGCATGAAACTCGTGAAGTGGTATCAGCGGCAGTCCTCACTCCGTTGCAAGCGGGCCCAGTCGTGACGCAGCAAGTAGGGCCAACAGCGCTGACCATGATGCCGCCAACAGGAAGAGCACCCCAACCCCCCGCTCAGCAAGTAGTGGCCATGACGAGAGAAGTAGTGCAGAGGATGGTGGCCGATGCGACAGCACAGGCTGTGCAACAAACCACTCACCAGACATCTCAGGCTGCTACCGCGTTGATAACGGTGCAGGGGACACAAGAAGAGGACGTGTCGAGTTACGGCCGAGGAGGAGAGTACAGAGATAGAGCGATGGAGAGGATGGCCGAACAGCTTAGGCAGTTGCAGGAGAAGGTGGAAGGAAGGCTGGAAAGACGTGCTCGAGGACACCCATTCTCGAGGGAAATCTTAGCTGCGCCGCTACCTGCGAGTTTCTGGGAGATAAACCTGATTTTTTATGGATCAAGCGATCCGTCGAGGCACGTGAGAGCATTCGAAAACATGTCCGTCTTACACGGGTACTCAGATCCGGTCAGCTACAGGGCCTTCCTGTCGACCTTACGGGGAGGTGCGCTTGACTGGTTCCACCAATTAGCTCCAGGTTCAATCAAAGACTTTGAGGATTTCGCAGGACAACTTACTAATCAATACTCAAGTGCGGTCGCCCAGGAGAAGACATACCTTACACTGATGGCAATGCGACAAGGCGAGAAAGAATCCTTACGGAAATATGTTGCTCGATACAATCAGATGTGTCTAGAGGTGCCCACGGCGGGTGACGAGGTGAAAGCAGAAGGATTGATTAGGAGTCTACGGCCAGGACCATGTCGAACGTCGCTGGCAAAGATGCCTGATCGAACTTACGATGAGGTGCTCAAAAGATGCAAGAAGTACATTAATTTGGAAGAAACAGAAGCAGAGTTTGCCAAGCTCGAGGACGTTGTGAAACCTGAGTAGAAGAAGGGAAAGATGAGCCCGCCCAGGAGGGGATCGCCTAGGAAAAATTCCCCAAGAGGAGGATCTTTTAAGAGGCTGTCGCCCAGGAGGGATGGGCGAAATTCATTCCGAGAGAGGCGAGAAGATCGCTGGCAAGGGAGACCTCGATTACCGAGCGGCCAAAGATATAACCATTTTACTCCTATCAACGCCCAGATGGGTGAAGTCTTGGTGGCCATAGAGGAGAATTTGGAAACCAAGGAAGTCACGTGGCCAGCGACCAGGTTCGAGGGACCGACCAAACCTAGGTCGAATAAATACTGTAGATTCCATAGGGATTATGGACATAATACAGAAGATTGTAGGCACTTGAAAGACGAGATCGAGCGTCTCATACGGGCAGGGCACCTGAAAGAATTTGTCATTCGCGATCGACCACGGGGTAAAGAAAGGAGAAGGTGCAGGGAAGATTCTATGGCGAGGAGCGATAAGGACGACGATGGAGAAGACGATGCTAGGAAAGAAAGAAGGAGACAACAAAACGATGGTCGAGAGGAGCTGAGGGAGGAGGTGCCTGCAAAAAGAGGCACGATTTACATGATCTAAGGAGGGCCAACGGATGGGGATTCGAATAATGCGCGAAAGGGGCATGTGCGGGCGGTGAAGCGTAAAAGAGAAGAGGTCGGGATAACTGGTCGAATGTCTGTGATTAGCTTTCGAGCAGAAGACGCGGAGGGAATCTTGTGTTGGGTTCTGTTAGGAACGTCAAACAACATGCACAGTATTGAACTTTATCGAAATAAATCCTAACGCAGCGGAATCTATAGTTAGGATATGGACGTTTACCTTTTAAAATTTTTGCTGACTCTGAGACGATGTAGAGTACCGTTGGTGAAGTTCGTCTGAACACCACAACCTAAAGGGCGGATAGGTTTGGCATTTAGTTGATTCTAATCAACACGTCAAACGGATCACGAACGGACGGTGGCTAGGTCTCGGTCGTCGGTTGGCAGCAGGCAGCACGTG